TCCAGTGTGAAGTTTCTCATGTAGAATTAGGTGTGACCTTTGGGAGAAACATCTCCCACATTCTGAGCACATTTCATTTTTCTTTTTTTCTACACGCTCGTAAGGCTTCTTTCCTATGTGAATCTTCTTGTGTCTTTTAAGATATTCATCGCACAAAAAAGACTTCCCACACTCCGGACATTTATATGGTTTCTCTCCACTGTGGGTTCTCTGATGTATCAAAAGTCTGTCTTTCCGAGTGAAAGATTTCTCACACACTGAGCATTTATGGGTCTTCTCTGCTGTATGGACTTGCCAGTGACTTCTAAGATGAGTTGAATGAATAAATGCTTTCCCACAGTCTAAACATTTGAATTTCCTTTCCCCTCTGTGAATTTCCTTATGATGTCTGAGGTTTGCTATCATATGAAAAAATTTTCCACACTCGATGCACTGATAGGGTTTCTCCCCTGTGTGGATTATCTGATGTCGAAAAAGACTTTTCTTTAGAGCGAAACATTTCTCACAATCGTTACATTTATAGAGTTTTTCTCTCGTGTGCGTCTTTTGGTGACTCCGAAGTCTGGAAGAACTCCCAAATCGTTTCTCACATTCTGGGCATTCATGGGGTCTTTCCCCAGTGTGGACTGTCTGGTGTCGCTGCAGGGTTGATTTGCTGGAAAAACATTTTCCACACTCCAGACATTCATGGGGTCTTTCCCCAGTGTGGATTCTCTGATGTCGCCGCAGGGCTGATTTGCTGGAAAAACATTTCCCACATTCTAGGCACGTTCTGCTTTCCTCCTTTGTGTGTATTTGATTATGTTTGCAAAGTGATGAACTCCGAGTGAAACATTTTCCACACTCGAAGCATTTATAAGGTTTTATTTCCATGTGAATTTTCCTCCGGATTTTGACACTTCTTTTGCAAACAAAAGATTTCCCACACTACAAACATTGATAAGGTTTTTGTCCAGTGTGGATTTGTTGATGTTTAAGCATCTCTGACTTTTGAGAAAAGCAAAGCCCACATTGCACACAATTGCAGGGGTTTCTCTTCAGTTGGGCTGTTCTGAGGCCTGGAAAAACACTGAGGCCTTCCTGAGGTCTCTTTCCCTGGTGGATACGCTAAGGAGCTCTGATGTCCCAGCCTTTAGCAAAATGCTTCCCACACTCTCCACATTTGTAGGGATATCCCACACTCAGAGCACTTGAAGAGTCTCTCCTGGTTCCTCTGAGGGGAGCTTCTATCAAAGTATTTCTCCACCCAGCATAATTTCCGGCGCTTTCTCAGTTGCAGGGCTTTCTAAACGCAGAAAATCTAATAACTGGAACTTTGTCCACTTTTCCCGGTGTCACGTGCTGGATGAAGGAAAAAGAAGTAAAGAAGAGAGAAAGATTCATGATGGCTGACAGAATAGCAATAGCACTTAAGACATATATATTGCTTCTCAGTGCTTTACGGCCCTCTCTAAACGGTATACAGAATCGGCATATTGCCCCCCAACAATTTGGGTCATTTTGCCAACTTCGGAAGGATGGAAGGGCGAATTAATCTTGAGCCAGTGAGAATCGAACTGCTGGCAGTTGGCAGAATTAGCCTGCAATACTGCATTCTAACCTCTGTGCTATCACGGCTTTCCCTTTTGCTCCCCATTTGCCTGCCCGAATTGTTAATAATCCATGCCTTTACCTTTGTAGTTATTCATGGACATTGTCCTTTGGCCACCACAGACTGAACATGGTGTCCTCCTAAAAGAGGTTTCTATTATTCTTTTATAGTTTAGGGAGGGTGTAAATATATTCATCAGGGTCATCAGTACCTCATGGTGGGTATTAAGACCCCCACTTCCCCAAAGGGAGACTGATGGCTTCCTTTGGCCAAAACGTCCACCTGGTGGTCCTACCTGCCCAAGATAGACTTTGGGCTCCAACGTCAGCCAGTTTCTTTCGGCTTCGTGTGTTGCGTCCACCCAACCACTGGAATCACTTCACCAAGGGCAGCAGCACCAGAAACCATGGTTAAACTAGCAATGCTTTAGTTGAGGGATGTGTACTTTCTGGTCTAAAAGTTGATCCCCGCTTTGGGAGAGTGTGATAGGGTGAAACTCAAATTTTATTCCGTGGCCTTTACAGTTTAACAAAATTATAGTACGGTATTACGAAGTTTTTCTCCTCCCATATTTCATCATCTTACCCTTCGGTGTCATTGAATTCTGCAGCTTGAGGCCTTGGTCAAGTCCAACATCCATCCTGAATCCCTTCCTCTTTTTTCCCCATTCCCTCTTTTCTCATCTGCAGCTCTGTTCATTTTCCCCTTCTTTTCCCCTCCATTTCTCTCCCAAGCTTCTTCTACCATTTGTTAGTTTCCTTCCTAAATCAGCCACCAAGAAGCAGCTGCCGCATCACAGCCTCTTCTGAGAAAAAACCACAGAAATAACATTTTTTAGAGATTCTACCCAGCTTTGTAGAAAGCGAAGAAAATCAAAGCATTAGTTGGTTATCCCCCTGAAAGATTCCCTAACGTTAAAACAGCTCTTGAGTAGCAATAGTTTCCCAGCACGAGGGGCTCAGGAGAAAGAGATGCTGGCAATACTAACTCCCAAGAAAGAGGGGCTCAGAGGCAGCTACAAGCAGGGGAGGCAGGGAAGTGGGGGGAAGAAAGGAAATCAAACCTGATTGAGAGGGAGCATAGTAATCCTGTCCCTACTCCGCAGAGGGCAGATCCTTTTTTCTTTGTCATTTTTCGGAGTTTTCATCCTGCTTTCCTGAGAGGGCAGCGTTTGGGTGGGTGAAGCTGCCCCCTTTTGCCCCCTCCCCCCCCGAAGCTACAGCCGAGCAAGACGCCCGTCTGCTTGCGCTCTTCCCCGTCTGAGGTTTTTATTATGAGCATTTCTGTTGGGAATAGCCAACTAGCACCCCAACATGCCCCCCATGCCCCCACTTCAATGGCAGAAGCCGCACCCCCCCCCAAAGGCCTTGCAATCACCTATCGGCTTCTTTGAGTCAACCAGAAGGAGAGAAGGGGATCGAATAGTGCAAAGATGAATGTCAGAGAAACAGGCACAAGTTTCCCATTAAAACTGAGATAATTGGGTGTATAGATAGTCATCAACTTACAAAGACAACTGAGCTCAAAATTTGTGTTGCTAAGTGAGAAATTTTAAATTAGTTTTCTCCCATTTTATGACTTGTCTTGGAACATTTGTTAAGTCAATCACTGCAGTTGTTAAATCAGTAACAGTTCTTAAGTGAATCTGGTCTTCCCATTGACTTTCCTCGTCAGAAGGTTGTACAAGGGGATCACATGACCCTGGGACACTGTGACCATCATAAATATGAATCAGTTGCCAAGCATCTGAATCTAAATCACAAGACCCTGGGGATGCTGCAACGGTCATAAGTGTGAAAAATGGTCATACATCACCTTGCTAGGTGACTGGTGGTACTGGAATATTGCCATATCCTAAAAGTGGAACAACCTGTGAAAAGGTTAAAAAGCCCTGGTATAGGATCTCCTGCTTGAGGAAGGGGTTGGACTACCAGACCTCCAAAGTCCCTCCCAGCTTTATTCTGATTGATAAAACCCACCAAGGGGCTGCCACATTCTTTGACATTGTGACTAAATTATAGACCAGCAAAATGCTGTAGGCATAGTATACTTAGTTTAGTTTGGTTTAGTTTTATTCAATTTATACCCCGCCCTTCTCCTAGCGGACTCAGGGCGGCTTACAGCAAGTTAAAAAACAGACAAACCATACAAGATACTAAGTTTAAAATACAATTAAAATGAAATATTGATTTTTTGCCGTTTCTTTTTAAAATTATGTTAAAAACCAAATTAAAATCAAATTAAAATCAAATTAAAATACTTAGATTTCAGCAAGACATTCGACAACCTACATCTTGGTAAGCTAGACAAATATGGGATAGACAGCATCACCACCAGATGGATTTGTAACTAGCTGACAAACTGTACTCAGTGAGTAGTCCTTAATGGTACTACATCTACATAGAAAGGAGTAAACAGTGGGGTACCACAAGGTTCTGTTTTAGGCCCAGTACTCTTCAAAATCTTCATAAATGACTTAGATAAGGGAATAAAAGGGGAAGTCATCAAATTTGCAGATGACACTATGCTGGCAGAAATAACCAACACCCCAGAAGACAAGCTGAGGATCCAAAAAGATCTTGACAGACTTGAACAATGGGCCCTATCCAACAACATGAAATTTTGTGTTGAGAAAAGCAAGGTTTTACATGTAGACAGGAAAAACCAAAGGTGCAAATACAGATTAGGTGAAACCTGGCTCAAAAACAGTTAACTGTGAGAGGGACATTGGAGTCCAGTGTCGAAGTAAACATGAACGATCAGTGTGCAAAAGCATCCAGAAAAGCTATTATAATCCTTGGTTGTATAAATAAGAGTCGTAGAGTCAAAATCACAAGAAGGATTAGTAT